CACTTGACTACAAATGTCTCGTAAAACAAAAGTAGGCCAAGTATTTGCATACTGAAGGAGTTCGGTTTCAAAACCATAATAAACATAGCTATTTTTTTGCAATTGCAGAGGTTAAATGGAAAATTAACTAACTTAAGTTTGCCAAAATATTTGATTCTAGAATAGAATAGCTCTCAGGTGGATAATAACACAAGATAATCGTAAGCAGATTCGATTATCATTATAAATGTCACCGAAACCTATATTGACACGCTATTGTTAGTTCAGACACTAAGTGTTCGAGCAAAAAATGAATATGATTTCGGTTTTGGTGTAATCGTTTGAAAATAGAAGCCATGACAGTGATTTTATTACGGAGTTCGAGTTTCCTTAATAGGAAGTCCGTTTCAAAGCGTAATTATAGATAACAAAGAATAAGAACGTTTTCAATACAACTTTATATCAGATTATTTTGAGTTCTATGGAATCATTAAAATTAAGTCAAACAACTCTAGTTCGTTTTCGAGCTAAGGACTGAAAATTTCTTTGTTTGATTTTTTATTTTAAAACAATTGATGCTCACAGAAATGGTTTACTTTCTAAGTGTAATTTTCTTTCTGACATATTTTTCCTTTTTTAAGCTTTAGGTAGCAGCACCAGTTTTCCTCTATAAGTATTAAAAGTACCCTAGCCTTTTATGTGGTCCTGATAACATTTATTTATTTAGTTTGCTACCGATTATTACACTAAGCATTACAGACTCGAACTTAGAGCGTAAACATGTGTGAGTATAATAATCAGTTACAGCCTAATAGTCCGGTCAAGATGGACCAAAATATAGGGATATGCTTGCATAAATTAACAACCAGAATTTTTGCAGGACTGTTAGGGATATCATTATAATGAAATTGTAAATATTCTCCATCGATCCCATATGTGTAAAAAAAATTATGCAAAGTCTAAGTTCGTGAAAATGAGTATTTTTGGATTTTTTAAGATGATGAAAATAGGTCAGACAAAAAAGTAGATCATGCAGTTATCTACAAAATTGTCATTGCACTTTTTCCTCTAAGATTTCAATTCCTAAGATTCCAACTATTTTTTTTTAAACAGCAATTCTAAAATTTACTAAAGCTGTATAATGGTATTCCTAACGTTCATGCAAAAATTCAAATCTTCTGAGTTTATGCAAGAGTGAAGGTCAATTTTGACCGGAATTTAACACCACATGCCAATAAATAACAGCTATAAAAGTTAAAAATAGAATAGGAAATTGACAAATTATTTAATTATTAATTTGACATAATTTAAAATAAGAATAACAATAAAATAGCTATTAATTAACTAAACATTTTTTTTAATAAGGTATGCAATAAAAGATAACATGATGTATCTGTTATTGCCCTTGGAGTGCCATGCTTTGGTACAAATTTGCAGAATCGACCGGAGTACTATGGCTGATCTGAGGTTACCGGAGCCTATGTTCTTCCTGCCTCTAATTCTGGGGGGAGGACTCAAAGAGCGGCAAGCATTTGTGATTCTTGAGTTATAATCACTTATCATCAGGAGACCCACCTGCTGGTTTACAATCGGATAGTCAGTTGATTAGTTGCGTAGCCACAAGCAAACAAACTCACACTTATAACAACAAGTATAGTTTCAAATGATATAACACAAGATTTAATAATGCAATCACATGAAATAATGAGCAATCTCACACTAGAACTGGGTCAATGATGACATTCTCGCACTTAATGGCTCGTAATAGACCTATTCCCTGCTAAACACATTGAATCACGGCTTTATAGCTTGCGATTATGGCATTTCTGAGGTAAACACTACGAGTGCAGTGTGGCGCATTTGGAAACGGCCCTGGCCTGCCCTTCATTTAACGGCTTTGAAACTTAAATTAAACTATGTTTGACTACAGTTATATTTGGAACGCAGTTGATGGTTGTACAGTTTGATTACGGTTGTACGACAGTATAGGAAGAATAATAAGAACAAAAAACAATATTTTTTTAAGACTCCCGAATCGCTGCACCCTTAAAAGGAAGGGTTCTAAAATAAAATACAATAAACCTATTTTGTTAAGAACAATAGGTTTGATATTTCCGACATTTTGTAATATCTAAAGTATTCTCTTTTCAAATGTCCGAAAGATTGAGTGACGTGAATACCCATTAGGAAAAATTCAGTGGCCACATTTATGTTATATTTTATAAATGGCCTGGAGTGCAGCGATGGTAAACGTGACTTTTTGGATCTGACGTTATATTTTGATTGTATGTTTTTATATGTTTTTGTTGTTAAGTGGAATGATCAACAAACAAAAACTGTCGTTATTTAGCTACCCAAAGGCAGCTTTTCAAAAGACTGCTGTAATAAATTTATCTTCAAACTATATAAAAAATTGACCTTGATGAAAAAATGATATCAATAACAGAACAATAAAAGTATTTTTTTGATCCTCTAAACGTGCGCGATTGTCTGAAGTGTCGTGACGTCGTTTAAGTCACAATGGGGGCACCGTGACGTCGACTTTTGGCCAATACGACACAAGTACTTGCGGAACCAACCGTCTTCAGAAAACACCTGCGTCATCTGTAAAGCAAATGCTTTCTCTCCAACCATTCTCTTAGGAGAGGTCTTACTATATTTGTTTGTGACGCTCTCAACAAACAACAAATGAAACATTATTTTTTTAGGACTTTTTAAAGTTAGTTGTAGTGCTTTATCTTTACAAGTAAATAATAAAACTCAATTGAAAGATGTGTTAGTCTAAAGTGAGTAGGTTTTGATCCGCTTTCAAAAACTTTATTAAAACACAGATCGACCTTGCCGTCACCATTCTATTACGAGCCGTTAAGTCAACCTAGCACAGACTCTTTTACTTCTACTCAGATTTATTACCGGTGGGTATGGCAAATACACAAGCCTTAAATATTAAATAAAAAATAGGCATAGGATGTAATGACAATAATAGACCGGTAGTGACAAATAAAGAAAGAAAATGTGTTTTTTTAATAAGCTAAGGCATACAACTGGCTAATGTTACGGAAAACAGGAAACCAAAAAAAAAAAGGAAAAAGAAAATTGCAGTATTATTACATCTAAAAGATTAGTTGCTATACTACAAGGTAAAAATAACGCAATAACAAGGAGAATATATACATAGAAATGATCCCAAACATCTGAGAAAATTTGAAAAACAGTTTAAGTAATTATGTATATTTAAAGGCAGGAGCTTAAAAAGGCTGCAATTAGTTGAAGGCGTTAAAAACTGAAATTTGAATTATCATCATCATCATCAGCCTATCGCAGTCCACTGCTGGACATAGGCCTCTCCCATTGCACGCCACTTAGATCGATTTTGGGCTTCTCGCATCCAGCTCCTGCCAGCTATCTTGCGCAAATCGTCACTCCATCTGGCCTGTGGGCGTCCTACACTACGTTTGCCGAGACGCGGTCTCCACTCAAAAACTCGAAAAAAATTAAAATTTGAAAATTTGATTGTGGAAATCATTATGTTAGATCGAAGCAATCATTGCGAAATTAGTTAAGTAGCAATGTTTCTAAGGAAGCTTACAGAAATTATACCCTCTACAGGTGGAAATAGCCAAAAGTTAAGAGATTTAAAGATGTAATCAAGGAACGTAGTTCTTTGTGTCCTTGTCTAATGGAAAGTAATGATTACAAAAGTGCACGCATTATTTCCTTAAAGCATTCTTTATTAGAACCACTTAAAGGAGAAATGCCGGAGGTTGATTACGGGGCGGCTACGTTTGAATTGAATTAATTATTACGAAATAGCGGAGGAAAAAATACCCTCAGTATTTTTTCCTCCGCTCTGTTCACTGTGATATTCCTTAGTTCTTTCTTCTTAGAAGTGAATAACAATTTATTATATTAGCTATTTTTTGTAATGTTTAGTTTTTACTGTAGTCTTTTGATTTGCTGTTTTAATTACGAAATTACTTAATTTTATACATCTGTTAAAAATTTTTAGAACAATGTTTTTTTTTTGGCAAAATCTGTTTGTTGCCATTAATTTTGGTGTTATTTGTTTTTCGGTTTTCGAATTCAATTAATACAAAAAGCTTTTGTCTTTCTTGAGCTTTTTTAAATTCATGAATAACGCGGTAAATTCAAGAATTTTTACACAATTGAATTTTAATTAATTTTGGAGGAGGATTATTTTCAGTAAATAGTAAAAAGTGCCGATAACAGTAGCTAAGTTAATAGGTTTATTATTAAAAGCTTTATCTAAACGAATAGTAACATATTTAAAAACCTTACATTTTATGCAATTTACTTGCATCAAGTGCAAAATAAAAACAAAATAGTAAATTAACAAAATTCTAACAAATGAAACAGAAAAAAATCTAAGTAACATGGAAAGTAACATATTCAAAATTTAAATACGCTCCTTAATTTAATGAATTTTAAATGATCCTTAATTTATTTCGTTGTAAGATTTCGTTACTAATATATGAAAGTACACCATTATTTATTAAATAATAACGTACTTAGTTAACTTAATTAGTTAATGAACCTTAATTGATTTTGTGAATACTCATTTATTCCTTCTATAATTAATAACTTACTTTAATGTACATTTGTATCGTAACCTCTTTTCTGTGTAGACTGTTACGTAGAACAGATATATATTTATCCACCGATACAATAACTTCTCAGAAGTTAGTGAAATTAAATTTAATATGAATTATTTTCAGGTTAATTAATAAAATGTTTTTTATTTTATTTTAATATTATTATTTAAAACTCCAGGTAGTGTGTCAGTGTAAGAGACCAAAAGGCGTTCAGAAATTGTGATTTAGTCAAAATATCCCATTTATAAAAAACAAAGGCACCTCTATAAAACAGATATTATTCTAGTATCCAATCGGATTACATAAATGTACTAAATGTGAAGTGTGTGTGAATACAGTAATTGTGAATATTCCGCAATCAGTGGTGATCCAAATGTTTTATGAGGAAGTGCACTTAATCCCAGCATCATGGTAAGTGTTTATGCAGACGTATATAATGTAGATTGGCTCGTTTTTAGTACACTAAAACCCTTATAGTACCAAGTTCTATATATGTTATGGTCATCGTGACCTAAATTTTTCATTACGAATGTGATTTTGTTCAGTTGCTTGTAAAATCCGAGGTTGCGGCTTTAATTCCTGCTCAATTTAAAAAATTATCATATTCATTTTTTTTGATTTAATGTACAATATGTATCTATATACTCCCAAACAATAATTATCAAAGTATGTTTATGTATAATACATAATACCTTTGTTATTATATGTATAGATGTTTTTTGTCAAGATGGCGGTGTGCAGTGTGTCTCAGAATATTTTTATTATTAGAACAATAACGAAGTTTCATAGCATTTACCGTATAGTATAGCTAATATGTTCTTGTGGTGACACCTAAAATGCTTGAATAACAGTAATAGGCTGGCCTCCTATTACGTAAATCAGCCTAAAATTACAATAGACGAAGTGTAAACATTTATTACGCCGCTGACTACCCCTTTGGGTATATAATCGTGAGTTTATACATAACGTCGCTTGAAGTAAAGTTTAATTGCACAGTCATAAAGACAAAGTTATAACTAAAAAACTTAATTAGCTCTTTAGTTTCATTATTTAAAACTGGATTTTACCTGAGTTTTATAAGGTACTTTTATCGCACTTATTAATTTGGTAAAAAGTACGTTTTAATTGAGTTGTATTCACTAAATTTTATCCTCTATCTACTTAAAAATGCTTACTATATATACTTAGTAGGACAAAACCTCTTTTAGGGAGAGGCAGCAGTGGACTAGTACTTGTAAAGGCTGTTGATTATACTTAAAAAGCTTTCTTTAATACTACGCTTGGATAGTAGATCGAAGTTAGGACAGTAGAACGTCTGAAGTGTGAACGAATGTATTAGATATTAGCTTTTGCCCGCGGCTCCGCCTGCGTAAATGTCGGTTATCGTAGTAAGAATGTTGGTAGCGGTAGCCTATGTCCTTCCTTAAGAGTTAAAGTATCTCCGTACCAAAATTTTTCTAAATCGCTTCTGCGTGTTATTTATTACCCATACAATCTTCCACCCCCTTTCAACTCCTTAAAGGATGATTTCTGGGCTAAAAACTACCCTATATCCTTTCCAGAGACTCCCGACTATCTCTATACTAAATTTTATCTAAATCGGTCCAGCGGTTTAAGCGCTACTTTTATATAAATAGGAGAACAGATATTTTTGAAATCACTTGGCTAGTATAGTCTTGCATTTTGTGACAGGGAACTTGATACCATCGTGTTTAACATCATATTGTAATTAGGAGTATCCAGGACCATCTTATGTGTGCTGGTGATGTATAGTCGCCGTATAATTATTAGTCCAGTAGTTTTATATAGTTCAACTGTTGCAAATTTGATTGTTTTTTTGAGCATATCTTTAATTAATTATTTCTGTGCTCACTCCTTTTGAAATAGATGTGATGTTGCTGCACCTCCCTAGACGCTTATACAGTACGTTGATATCGATTGGCAGAGTGAAATGTATACTGTTTTAGAAACTCAATAATAGCAACGTCACGAAATTCTTTAATCACGAAAATAAGTTTTCTGCATCTCGCTGAGAGCACCGCGATATGTCCATTAAAATTAGCTTCTCGTCAGTGATTATTAAGTATTTAATCATTCAACAGGTACTCTATATAAAACAAAGAGGTTTTTGGTATTGCTTTTATTAAATTAATTTAATCTTCTGAAGGCATAACATATTTTCATTTTGGTTTCAAACTCAAATTAAAATATCTTTATTTCATAAAAAACACAAAATAGCAACAATCTCTGTTTTGTCAAATATTTAGCAAACTAAATGTAAACGTATCGAAAATCTATTATATGCCTGTGCCGATCTACAACCGCCCATTTTCATAGGGTTGAGCCTCATGAGAAGAAAAGGCAAATAAACTCACGGCCACTCTTTTCAATCAACATATAACGTTGATATCATTAAATATACTGGCACACATAACAAAATTGTTTTGATGTGCGCCAGTATGTAAGTTTTAAGGACTAAAAGGTTAAAAGGCAATAAAGAGAAAACAAGTTATAGGAAAAATATGGAATAAAAAGAAAGTGAAGTAAAACGTAAAAAAATGGAAAATTAAATAAAAGACATACAAGCCCACATCACATTTCTACTACGAAATAGCCTGTGCTTATTTAATCCCAAGCATTCTTGTCTTCTATGTGACCCACAATTGAGTAATAGGCAATTTCTCTTAACTAGCTCTCTCTCTAGCTCCACGAATAATAAACAAGCAAGCTGGTAGAAATTTCCAATACTTCCGACGTACATTGATTAAAGCCAAATAGTTTTAGCTTTTAAAATGTTTACAGTTTCAGTATATTTTATTGTATTGTGAACATTTTATGTCGCTTAAGAACCTAACACAGTACGGGACTAAAGGCATTTAAAGTCTTTATTTGCTTTAAATTTTAACAACGAAGTAGGAAGGTTTTATGAACATGATTTCATTACTCGGTCTTGCTTTTGGGATTAAATTTATTTATGGTACATAAACGGAATTCTTTTACGTTTTAAATGTAAACGAAGCTTTTACTTAATAAAATCAACAGCTTTTAATACTTCTACTTTAATACGTCCACTGCTGGGCAAAGGCCTCTCCTAAGAAAGGAGGTTTTGGCCTACTATATATTTCACTTAATAAAAGGTAGTAAGTAATTTAGCACATTTAATTCCCTTTTGACTACACAATACGGTTTTTTAGTAACTTATCAGAAACAGCTAATTTTTATCCCGAAAAGGTGATGAATATTGAGGATTAATTAGAGTCAAAGAAATCAAATCTTTGTGGTGTTTGGTTTTCTGTTTTAAAATACTGTTTTTTTTAAATATAGTTGTCAGTTATTCGATATTTAAAAATAATCTAAAAATATATTTTTTAGCACGTTTTATTAGACGTAAGGTATGACAGTACGTTTTGATTTGAATAAACAAAAGTATCATTTTGATTTGAATAAACAAAATGATACTTGGACATATGTCCATATGGAAATGTCACTCTCCCGTACCTTTATTATACGAACTTTCAAATTATAAAGTAAAGTTAAAAGGTCTATAAAAAATGAGTAAACGCCTAGAAGCTATACACCAATATCTTATAATACTAAAAACTCATTAGGTACTATTGAACTCAATTAATCAGTAACATTATTCAAAACCAACGATTACTTACTGTCCAAATTGATTCTCAAAAAACTTATTGCACAACGCGCAAGCATTAAAAATTCTGCTATAAATTTTATTGTAGCCTTTTCTAATATAACCCATAAACTGTCCACAATATACCGAACTTGGTCAACACTTGTAATTCTTAACAAATACATAATGTTCCCAACATCCTGTGGGAAATGGGAAAATATGGCGACCGCACCGCAGGCCTCGATTTTCACAACAAATAACTGTATTGAATCGTGGAAAGTATTACAGTGAGCATGCGATTTTCAACTTTATATCGCAGAACGTATGTTTGAAATATGTTTAGAGAAGGTATGTGCATAACAAAATTTCTTTTTGGAATCGAATTGGACGCTTGTTGACGGAAATAAGGCAATGCACGTGGAATTCTGAATGAAAGTAGCTTATTTTGGAAAACGAATGAGAAATTATTAATTTATTATAACCAATGTATATCGTGGGGATAGAAAAAACATGAATAAGTATACTCGAGAGCAATGAACCCGGGTTGGATTCTGAATGAAAACCTGAGAGGGTGTTAGTGGTTTGACTTGAGTGTTACGTTGACAGACGCATCATATGAGGTTGTTCCGGGCATGATCATTCTGGTTAAGGTCCTTGCTGTGTCTAACAGTTGATGTTCACATATTAAACGTTGTCGTTAAAATACGACCCGGTTACTTTACCCCCGATTACTTACTTAGTCTAGATAGTCAGAATTAGGAGTGTTTACAGAAGAAGTGTTAAATTTCTTTAAGGTGTAGTCACAGATTAAAATCGTTATGCATAACCAAAAATTATGTCATGACTTTTTAGCCTCTCAATCCAAATAAAACAAATTATTAATGGCAAAGTAGAGTTGTTAGATCCCTTCGGAGGATTAGGGTTATCAACTGAGGCTCGTCGAATGATCTTTCTTTTGTGTTGGAGGAAAATCTTACCGCGTTCAGAGACAATTTCAAATGTATTTCTGTAAAGATATTTCCGTCCGTAATCAAATCTAGTATTTGAGTTGGAAACGTTGGAATTACTTTATAAATATTTTATTTAATCATTCGTTTCAGAAAATTTTAGTGGAAGTGTTGAAACGAAAAGTCTATTTATGATATAAGTTTTTTTTTTTTTATTAAATTTTGAGTAACGTTATAATATAAATTTACAATATCGAATTATTACAGTGATTCCCTGGTCATAGGCAGGCAACGGAACACTGGGGTGGTTTTTAGTAGTTAACTGTCCGATAGACCCTCTCTATCCCCCCAAGGGAGAGGACATCTATGAAGATCTTCCACCTTATCAAATTTCAGCGCGTCAATATTGTATTATTATTTTCTTTTAATAGTGACATTGAAATGTCTTTTACATTCATCATGAAATATAAGAACTCCTGCTTTTTTTGCGATATAAGCCATCAGTTGTCTGCTTTGAAGTTTTATCAATACCGGTATGCCATCGGTATACCAACAAAAATATTTTGCGCTATCGAAAATGGTATTGAATATTTCAAAATGATCAATTGCAAATCACTTGAGATCAGGATGTCAGCAAGACGTGACAATTTCAAAGGTAAAGTCCGAGAATTCTACAGGAAACAGCTAGCAGAAACATCCTCATGATTTCGTATTTATTTTATTCCGTATATATAATATATTAATAGTTATTTATTTATTCGTCTATGTAGCATCAAATTAATGTCATATTTTCATAGCTTCTCTTCTTTTTACATAATACATGTGCACCTGCCATG